TTTACCAGCTCGCGCGTGCAATGCGCAGCTACTTACCCCCCAATCATCGGTGAACGAAACTGTGGCAGCTACAACCAGTGTACGACCAGTACGCGGTTATTACAGCTGATAATGATGATGATGATGACACATGTAGAACACACCTACTTTGATTTGTTCGTCCTGTTTATGTTTCTATGGGCACAGGGACTGGAATTCACCACGGTTTTAGACTAGTGCACACAGAAATGGCGCCAATGGGAACAATTAAGATTCGAAACTTAGGTTGGAAAACATAGCAGTACAAAAAGTCCTGCCGCACCTGAGTAGGAGACATACGTAGATGGATGGACTGACTTCCAAGTCGTGAGCAAAGTGAAGATGGAGATGAAACAGGAAAAACCTTTGTCTGCACTTTGCATGGTCCAATTTGTTAAAATGAGCAACATAGCCAGATAAGCTATTGATGGTCTGTTAAGTTAAACTAGCTCTCCAAAACCACGAGTCACGAAAACGAACAGTTCAAACACAGGCCTGAAATGAGGTATGATTCATATGTGCTTTTTCAGCTCTTCTTTAACCTGTTTTTTTAATGTTTCTTCGTTGCGTCAGGTGGACCCGGTATATTTATATGATATGAGTGGGGGGATGATCTCCTTAAATATGTTCTTCTCTCTGACGGGTTACTTCGTAGTCAGAACAAAAGAAGTCTGCTCTCCATCAAGTAATTTAGCGATCCCCTGTAACAAATCAGTTTTCCGTTATTCCTACTGATGTCTTGCTATCCTCTGGTATCTACTAGTCGTCCAATGTGTCCAGTTAGGAGCAGTACGAAGGCGAGTTAGCTTAATTTTTTGGAATCACGCTCTTGTTCAGGCTGGCAGACCCGATGCTGTTACCGGCAGACTACTGAAGAGGTACAGACCGAGGTCTGCGCGGCCCCATCCAGCTAGACTTCTAAAGCGATCCTAACTAGCACTGCAGCACTTCCCAAAACGCACCCAGTTTTTGTCCGATAAGATTTGAAAACCATTGTTCGATCTGGAGCCTTCAGTGTCGTACCGTCGGCGGTCAATAACCGAACTCTAAATTTAGGCTTTCTACTAATGCAATTTTACAGTGACTTAGGTCAATGACCTTCAAACAACAGCTCGCGAGACCGCTTCATCCGAGTAGGTATCAAAGCACCAAAGTGAGGACAATTATTCTTTCATCCGTCAAATACAAGGCCCACCGATTGAATACTCCGGGTCTAAACGTGGAAACTACCTAAGAGAAATGAATCTTCGAAAACATATTACGCTTGGTTCATTCCAATAGGCACTCTGACCTGATCACTGGTCTAGAATGTTAACTGGGTGAACGTCGGACTAGATACCTCACGAGCGTTTGCAGGAAACAACACCACCACTCATTTAATGACGGTTAGATTATCAAATAGCACACTGCAGATTCTCTACGGTCTGAGCGAGATAAACTGTACGGAAATGACAACCGGTTGGCAAGCACTACGTTACGGAAAACAGAGGAGGAAAACAGCACTGCAGACTGTTAGCATAACTTAGAAATCACAGAATACTTCAGTCATTCACCGACGCCTCGATCCCCTAACAGCCCATGTTGTACGAACAAAATAAAGCGTGTTTGAATAGAACAACCAACGGTAGGCACTTACCCACAGCCATTAGGACACCAGCGAAAATCTGTCTCATCAGATAGGGCGATGTGTAGAAGAAATTCCTCGTATCGGGATAGCATTTTTAAACAATGTGTTTGTATGGTCGCAAGCTGAACTGGGTTGTTCATACAAAGTTCAAAGGCGGCCGAATTCCCGGTCGGTATGGTGAGCACACGAAGCACGGTACTAGCGCTTAGTGCTTTTTTGCAACCGATGCATGTCAATCGGGACATGGCAAAGTTTTCGATTTCTGTGCATACAAAAGTCACCCAGCAAGACACACACGCCATGTGACGACATCCTGAGGACTCCAGTAAGACAGTGACCGGAAGGCAACAAACCGGGCATTCACTGTCATGATCAGAGTGCTGGATTAGAAGGCTTAGGGCGTCAATTGCTTCAACGGTGGAACGTTTACCTGAGGCATAGAAACAGTCATTAATGAGTTAATAGGACGAAAAGTAGTGGTGTGAAAATAAAGAAGTTATCCTATGGAATTTGCACCATCCTTGACAATATCACGACTCTCCCAACAAGGTTATTAAACACAATTCCACAGCTTGGTAACGATCTGCAAGGGCAGAAACCAAAAGCGTTCTGATCACTCACCAGCGATAAGATGACTGCTCGAGCAAGTCAGTGGTTGTTGGAAATGTACCAGGATAGTGGTAGCTCGAGATGGCTCATTTACTAAGGCGTAAACTTACTGACCGAGAGGTCCGCGGTTCGAACCCAATCTCTGCAGCTCGACTGCTCCTGTCTAGGCTTGGACAAGATAGCAGAATCCCAATCCCCGTGCTTCCTGCGGGTGGCATGGCAGCCAAGCAACGAAAAGGTGTCACAGTTAAACGGCTTTGATTTTTTCACTGGTAGTAGGTCAGCTGGCTATCGATCTGTCCATCAAGCTCGGTAGTTACGTTTCGAAAGTTCTGTCACCATCATTTTTCCCGTGCAATACAACCGCGAAAATTGGAAAGTGTATCAATCGAACTACGGCCAGTTTTGTGGAAAAAACAACGAATTCGAGAACGAAAGAGCAACGTACTCTTTGGTGGTAAACAATATCGATGCCATTCTCGGGCGACGATTAAATTACATTCCCGGTGGACGACACAGATACATATGCTTGAATATGTTTTCTGCGAGGCTGAAAAATGTACAAAATTTCATTTCCTGCTATTTATGTAGACTGGCTTCCTTAAACAAGTAAAACGTGTGCTCTGTCTCAAGAATAAAACTAGCTGGCTAACAGAATACACTTATTTACATACTAATTTGGTTTTAACGGGAGACTCAGCTGGAACACAACTGTATCTCTCGTTTATGATGTTTTTAAGCAACTGAAACTGCTGCACCAGGCCCTCTCATGTTTCAGTTGGTACGATATTCGAGATATCACGATGAGTGTGCCTCGCTAATTTCGTGCAATTTGGGTTCAAGTAGATCACAAGGTTGACCGAAACTCGGGGACTGCGCCTAATTGATTAGCCCTAAAAAGGACGTGTACTATATTGCATCCATAGCTGGCTAACAAATACACCAATAGTGTTAGTGGTTTGTGTAGCCGACTGTCGCTCTAGCAGGTACCACTGCCCAAACCAGTAAGAGCCTGTCCGTTTAAAGGCATGGCTTGAATCAATTGTCGTATTTACTTGCTCACCTATCCACTTTGCTTCAGCTAGCTATTGTCATCGGAGAGCCTCCACTGTAAGCTGGGTGTTATGGATTGGGTGGATCGTAACCAAGCTTGGGATGCGCTCGTCCCTTAAACCTATAACTTCTGGGAAGAGTTAAAGAGATTGGGTTGAGCCGGAATGACTCGACCTAACGATGGACATAAGCAAACACTCTTTCTTTTCATAGCAGATCCCTTGATCCTGCAAGCTAACTGGTTCCACATGAGTTGCTGACGACCTAGCATGCAACATGTGGGAACAGGACACGCGTGGACCTATAGGACTAAGCCCATTTCCATGGCAGCACTTTTCGCATTATAATAGGGTCAATCTGTTCTCAACAGGGATTATGTATAGTGGTAAGTATGACGTTCCAGACATTACCCGAAAACATTAGTTACCGGAACTTACCATGGGTCACTCGTCGCGCAAGTCGAAAATTTCTCAAGTAATTTGCAGCCGAAGAACCGCGAGCACTATCTTCCGCATTACCCATGGTTTCGGCCGTTACTGATCGTCACGTTCTCCAGTCGACTGACACAATGAGAGAGCAATTCTGGTCAGTGAAGGTAATCGAGCTGCAAATAACAAATTATTCAGAAGTCATTTAATGATAATAGTATTCATGGCATGCAGGCTGCCTCATTCAGGAACAAAGACCTCCTTCGAGAGGCAGGACATATGTCTAAGAAAGGACGAATAATCACTTTGGGCAGCCTCTTCTTTAACCTCAAATTGTCTACCTGAAATGCAGTTCACAAAAGTAATACCAAGTGGGCGAAATTGAACAAAGGGAATGGCTCAACAGTAGGACAACCCACAGGATTAAAGAAGTACAGACTGCCAACGAAGGGTACGTTTTGCAGTCGGAGGCATCAGTAGCACAAGACCCGTGTGAAATCGTAAGGTAGACATACCCCTGCTATCACGCAATCCACGGACAGCCAACCACGTTAACATTCTCAAACTATTGATTGTTCACTATTGTTATATCAGTTCGTCTAAGTTTCTTGGTGTTACCAAAGACAGCACATCTTCACAAGGGTCTACCTTCTTGGGAGGTGAGAACTATGGAATAACTCCTGTAACTTCTGAACCTGGGAACCGTTAAATTTCGTGAATTGGCCTGTTTTTAGCCGGCGATGTGATGTAAGAGCCAATCAGTCAGTTAAATTTATCAACTAAAAGCCGTGTACCATGGGCACATTCGTTCAAGCTGCTACAGTTTCAATCACCGGAAAGTGGGAGTGTGGGGCATATAAAAAAAATCGTTCAGCTGTAGCACCCTTTCGGCGCCTAACTGCCATGCCACCCATAAGAGGCACGAGGGATGGGATACTGTCAGGTTGCCCAAGCCTAGACAGGGGAAGTCGAGAGGCAGAGGTCGGATTCGAACCACGGATTTTCCAGTCAGTAAATTCGCGCTCTAACCACTTCGGCCATCTCGCCCCGTGGGGCATATGGCCAAGCATTGCAGGCGGTGGCATGTTCACTTCCTTCGGAAATCGGGTAGCTACGCATAAGATGTGATAGCTTTGGTGCAGAAGAGCCGCTGATTGAGCGATTGGACCATTTCTGATAGTGTCATTAACCGTTGGTAATTTGAGTCCCGGGGTCCCCAACCGGGGATGCGGCAGTTACCGACCCGGTTAAGTTTACTGATTAGTGTTGTCTTACTCCGTAGCCACCTTTCGGTCGCTTCCACTCAGGACAGGGCCGGGCGAAAAGCGCTGTGTGAGGTAGAGATATGCGAAGAACATGTGCTAACCAACATAACCTATGAAGTGTGTGTAATTCATGCATCACGCGAGAGTCCCTCTTTCCTAGGACCATCTGGCGTAACTCAGCATTGCTAATCCGAGCCCCACCAGACCTGACCAATGCTTTGGAGACACCGGTGGTCAAACACTGACATCTTTCAGATATATCCTGCGCGTACAGATTACGTGTCTGACCCCACTGCCAGACAAACTCACGTCACGTCGGCGCCATAGGTGTCGGAAATAGGCAAATGCTGCCCTGGTCTTTCTGATTCGAGAAGTAATCTCATCTCCAGCCAGTTCAACGAAACCTCTACCACTCCCAGGTAAAAAAATTTATATACTATGCCGATTGGCTCGCCTGCAAACATGAGGTTTGGGTTTGATCCCACCCAACCTTGTAGCAGCACTTCACAATTTGCAGATGAGAAGTGCACACCAAGCCGTGCGGTAGAGTTGTTTAGGTTATTGAAAATTGCTTGTATTTGGGAAGAATCTGAACAAAGGAGAGCAGCATCGTGTGCATACTCAATGGCTGTGAGGGAACGTTCCGGTAGCATTTCAACTCCCGAGGTTTGAGAGGCAGGCAGAGAAATCTCAAGCAGGATGTCAATGACAAAGTTGACCATGAGATGAGAGAGAAGACATCCTTGTCTTACACCACTGGACGTTATGAACCCAAGCGAAAGCTTCCTGTATACTCGTACGCATCCACAGGAGGTTGCAGACAGTGCCCTCATAAGGGATATAAATTGGGATCGGACAACTTTGATCGCCAGACATTACCAAAGTTTCTGACGATCGACAAAATCAAAAGCAGCTTTCAAATTAGAAAAAAGAGCAACGTAAGAAGTTTGAACGAGTGGCGCTGTTCAATTTTGTCTCAAGGTCGATGCATTCTCGACCAGAGCGAAACCCAGCTTGATTCTCACGAATCTGTTCCTCCCGATAATCAATTAACCTGTGTAAAATAATGCCAGAGAGGCTGATACCATTATGGCTTTCACATGACGTTATTGAGCCTTTTTTGTAAACTAGGTTGACGGTCGAGGAGCTCCATTCGGCCGGAGCGCGCGGCAGCGTTCGAAGTTTGTCATATCAGATTGATCAGTGGGCAGTCTGACTAACAGTCTTCTAGTCCTCCATGTGCGTGGTGGCTTGCTCCTTAAAAATGTAGGCTGTTTTGACGGTCTCTGCCTTGCGGTTAGGCTTTTGAGCCAAAAGCTGCGATTGATGACCGTAATCGTCCTTCTGTCCAGCTCTGGGTGGCCTGGTAGTATCATAGCATACGTAATGAAATATAAATGAAAGTACTGTCGAGCCACATCCGCTGCCGCTTCAAGTCATCGGCCAGGTCACCTTACTTGCTGCATATAGCAGGGTAGGTAACCGAAAACAGGCTACTTCTAAGGCCATCCTTCTTGTGCATACTTTCTATTCTCCCACATCTACACCATTAATTAGTCTCTTCTGGTAGACCCGATCATTATGATCCGGCCGTAACGTCAGCAGGTCAGCTGGAGCCTCAGGCATCTCGAAATCAATCTTCAAGCCTCAAGGTCCGATCTATCTGGGTGCTTTCATTGGTCACACTCTGAAGCAAGCAGGACAAGCTACTCTTATCCTTACAACGAGCTCGCTCGAAATTGATGTGGTGCCTATCACAAACCAAAACTCCAGATGCAAGCGCAGTGGTTAAGCTAACTGCCTTATCACTCTATAATCGCCCCCGGCTGTGCGCCTCCAATAATCCAAGGGCCATAGCGGCAGGATGTGCAAGGGTAGGTAACGTCCTAGGCCTCCAAATGGAAGGATCTTTGCTTGAGTGAACGTCCACCGATAGTCGTCCCCGTGTGGTTCGTCTGATAAAGTCTCTGAAGGAGTCTTGTCTGCTTACGCGCCAACCAATAACTGCAACTCTGAAACTATTGAAGACAAATTTTATGACTTGTGTGGTGTTGACAGCTCAGATACCATTCCAGTTGCCAGAGATTCCAATGCAGAAGTGGACAGACTTAGTGCATCTGATAATCAATCAGGCGGTCGATGAGAATTGGATCTGATATGTACGGAAAACGGCTGCCTCAGTTATGCGCTGACCGCAAGCTGCTTTCATGCAGTGTTTATTTCCGAAATAGTCTACACTTCGAAAATTGTTTTCCACCGCTTTCGAGACAGTCAAGAAGGTATGAGAAACACATTTGCTCCACAGATGATCAAAAGTAGCAAAGTCAGCTTCCATTATCAACATAGTTATAATCACCATTGACAGCAACTGGAGAGAACATTGCTGCTCCATTGTTATACAAACGCATCAGTTTATTTGAATAACACATGAAACTGGAAACATGGAGGGCAAGGGCTTAGCGCATACATCCAAGGTACCTAAACATGAAAAACTCAATCAGACAATCTGGACATTCTTCATTTTCTTCTACAATGTCAAATTCTGTACACAGTTCAGAGATATCAGTGACCAAACCCCCAAAGGCGTCTTGAAACATCTACCCGAAGTTCTCAATCTCGTGGCCGCATAGCAGTGCGGTCTGAAACATTCGTCATTTGAGACATAACCACACATCCTCCTAAATGAGTCAGAAGTAGGGAGCATAGTGCATACATGTCGGTTAGCCCCAGAAAAATCCAGTATTTGTCACCATATGTATTCAGATGCTTCGTTTCCGATTCACGCCACTTTCATGGATCCTCATACTCTGAAAATCAGGTCTCAGAATGTCAGGAACAATTCATTAGGCATGTATTTCACTGTGTAGCCGATCGTGGCAACCGCCAAGGATTGAAAATTCTCCAGCGATTCGTGCACTGTTTGAGCGATATAACCGTAGACAGCATGTGTAACGTCGCAGGGTACTACCCATGAGAGCGTCACCGTACAGTTTGTGCGTGCGTTCACACAGTGCCCGCAGGCCAGCCGTCCCAAATAACCGAACATCACATCATTTGGACGGATGCTTCACGTGCAGGACACGAACCAACGTAGGCATGCCAAGATTGGTCAGAATGCCAGCCAATCCGAGGCGAGCATCTTTAAGTCGACGCTTCTGAATGATTTGTCCACGCAAGAACCAGCACTTCCACAGTCACTACAATGACGGGTTCTCCGGTGAATTTGTTAGCCCTCAACTACAGCTTTGGTACCCAGTGCTTCTTCGGTTGGAGGTTTCGGGGATGAAAATGACACATGAGTGACGGTCCACTGCACACAGTTGCCACCGTCTCAACTGTCCCAAGGATTCACGGATTGATACACAGGATCGAGGCTTTTGCCCAAGTTTCCCGTAAAACGAGTCAGAAGTTTGAGTGCCTCTTCGTTGTTCGTGTCTATAGGGATGACCTTACACTTCGTGGGCGCAAAGAATATACTCCGGACAGTTCATCCAAAAACGCCTGCACAAAGGCAAAAACGATATTGTCTGCATATTCTAGATCAACAAGATATTCATCAGAGGCTACTTGAACACCAGGATTTTGAACGCTTTCCAGCGTTCGTCCCATTATGTCATCGATGATATCCACCACGAAATTAAAAAGGAGCGGAAGCTCCTCTGACGGACACCGCTTTGTGTGCGGAAGGTTCCGGAGAGCACTCCGTATACTTGCGCACGTCCAGAAGTTTGAGAATATAAAGAACTTAAGTTCAAACTTCCAAAGCATTCTCTGATGGACAATCTTGTCAGGAGAACGACATGTGGTCCATGCACAGTCAGCATTCTGATTGGTCAGTTGTGCACAAGTCAGGAAGCGAGTGCGCTTTTTCACGGATTCACGGATTCATACTGTGGCGTTTTGTACCTTCAT